CACATGTTTTTGTCAATGGCAGGGCTTAAATCTAATTTGCATTTCGTCGAATATTTAAATTTGGATGGCGACACGAGATGGGAGGATTGTTCGTGTTGGAGCGAAAAACGCGATCCACTTTCCGTTATCGTCCTAAATTTACGGAAATGCGCTGAAATTAACTTTTCAAAGGATTCTTGGGAATTTAAACACATCTTTGAGTCGCCGACACACTCCTATTAATGAACTTAACGTCAAAATAACTGATTAAAATAACAAAAATGAACGAAAATAGGGGCCTTAGAAAACCTAGTGTAATCCATTGTCACTTGAAAAAACTGCCATAGCCCGATATTTTATTCGCCTTATTTTCACTTTAAAGCCTCTTAACTGCAAAGAAGCCGTTATCGTCGACAATATTAAAGGTCCAATATTGCACTCGTGCTGAGATGTGCTCCAAGAGTGTTCTTCGTAGAGGGGTGGTGTTTATCACATCGTAGAGTTCACGAAACGGAACATTTTCGCTTTCTATCGCAACATGTTTTATGAAAAAGAGCCTTTTGTTTGAGCGTAACAAAAGCTGCATGTCTTGATGGTGAATAATTGATATTTTCAGTGGCGGGCTCTGCTTTACCATCTTCCTTTTATCTCTCAATACAAAACCGTTTTAGGGCGGAGGACCTGAGCGATTGTCCTTACACGTTTTGCCCATCTGACGAGTCATTTTTCTCTGTCTAATAAACATTGTTATTAGGATGTGCACGGAATTTGATCAACAATGCCTGGCAATTAATAAAGCTCGACAAATCTGTTCATTTCTTAGGTAACCCGGCTATAATGACACGAGCTCACAATATAGGCCACGTGTGGGATTCTCTAAGCATCTTCAACACTTCAGGCCTCAATGTGAAGAGCTTTGCTCCTCCTGTGTGTAAATCTGATCCTTAATCCGTAGATTACGCTAACACACTATGCTTTTATTCGCTTGTGTCTTTGCTATTTATCTTTCCTTAATCAAAAAATATAATAAACGTTAAACAGGGGGCAAATGGGGTAAAAACAGCTCGCCCTACTTCACAGGGTAGAGATTTTTTGGACTTGAGAGAAAATGAGGGGTAAAATGAGATATGGGTTTGACCATTTTAGGTATACATTTTATTTTATAGCATCCGCAGTTAAGGAAATATTATGGAAGTTGTTGTTGCACCCCACTAGAACAGAAACTGCTCCAGCAGGTCCATAAATCAACGTATTTACCAGCATCAAATATCTAATTACCCATTTGATATCATTCTACTCCTAAATGAACGGCTGAAAACATTGTCAGTGACGCTTCATTATCAAACAAAGGCACACGCCCCGCAAAATTAGCCGATTTAGTGAGATATTTATCGGGTCACTCAACACATGTGCAAAGGAAGACTAGTCAAACATAGCAACAAACATTCAAATCAATTCTAATCACAAAACCTCGAGGCCCTTCAAAACGTTTTCTGATAAACGTTCTTGGAGCTCATTTCCGTTTGAATGACTTGATGACGTTGTCTCTTGAGAAAAGCCCGAATGCTTCCTCGAGTATAACGCACGTGGATGAGTCAACGTAATTTAACTCGGCAAACAGATAAAATCGCAGAACAAAGAACAAAATGAGAGCTGTAATGCTGCATCCGAAGGAAACACTTGCCCACGTACCGAAGGTAACACTTGCACACGTTTTGATATCTGCGAAAGGTCAAAGTCTCCATATTTTAACAACCATCCTTTCTCGCTCTCTTTATCTCCTTCGTCTTTAGTGTTTTCAGATCTGTCTAAAATATTATTGGTTTCCTTTAGGCGATAGACTGAAATTTAGCACGACACGAAAAATCATTTTGTAATGTCCTTAATCTTTTGATTTCTGCATCCTAAAGACAGCTGATAAAATCTCACCACACAATACTTATACTTCGTGAGACTTCAGGTGGTGAGGATTAGCAAAAGTTATTACTGATAAATCTTAATTGTCGGAGGTAATTCTGCTGAGGAGAGAGAACTAATAGTATGAATAAAACAAAGTCAAATTAAAACTGTGTCAAAATCACACTAAATTTTCAGTACAAAAACAAGTTAGAGAAACTTACAAACAAGTGATAAAAACCAAGTAATAAAAACCTGTAACTGTTTGTTTGTTTTTCTGCTCTCTACCATTGGCTTGGAAAACTGGCGTCACTTTTTCAACCAATCAGATGCAAATTCTAAACCAATTATATTCTAATTCTAAGCCAATCACGGCTCGCATAGTCATGTGCATTTTCCTGCGTTTGGCACGCATTTTCTTTGAGTTTATATATTCGATATCTAGTGGTCATCCTTTGGGTTACGATAGTAGTGGTTTGGTTAAAGCTAAACTGTCGAAAGTACTCCACCACATAGAAACGTTCATTTTTTTCCTCTTTTTTGATTCATTCTGAAAACCCCGGCAAAAAAAGTGTAATAAAAAAAGTTTAAGAAAGTATAATTCAGGTAAACCAAGTATTTTACCGGGCTTGATCTAGTAGAGGTATGTTAAAAATATTTTACTTGAATTTATTGCAGGTCTATGTATCCCGGGTCGTTTGACAAACATTTAGGGGGTATTCCAGGTATTCAGATTCTATCAGCGAGCTGAGTTTACAATAAAGTGTATATGAGTTTATAATAAAGTGTGAAACCGGTGAAGTTAGCCAAAGCCTTGAGGTAATTTACAGTTTAGCCTGCTTTAGGTGCAAATTCCTGACCACGGTCGAGGGTACTCCCTAAGGGTATTCCCTAAGAGTACTCCCTAAGGGTACTCCCTAAGGGTACTCCCTAGCGGTACTCCTCTAAGGAGGCGGAGTAAGGGGTTAGGGGGAACTTCAGCCGACCACAAAACAAAATGTTGGCGAGGGCCGGCAGAACATGCCCACCATTGCCTATCGGTAAGGACTCTGTACTTTTGAAAAAGCAGCATAGAGCTGACTTGGCGAAATATTCAGTTTCGTGACTTCTTCAAAATCCCTTTATCAGGAACTTGCTTAGCGAAGTAGTATGTTGTAACAAATAAATCACGGACATGCTGAACACTATTACGATTGCAAAGAAGTTTGCTTGTGCCAGCAGCTGCGCGAAGGATGTTTTCAGGAAGTAGAGTGAGAGATGCGTTTTTGTTTCCCCACGAAACAAAACACTCCACCGTCTTTGCTTTTTTTTTTTTTTGTGACCTCAGTTAACATCATTTCTAAACTTGCTATACTCCTAAAGTTCCCGTTGACGATAACGTTCGTTTAGCCGTTTCAAAACGCCCGAAATCATAGCATCGCTAAATCGACTCTTCTAAGGGGTAAAGGCAGTGCGCCAGTTCCTCCGAAACGAGTAATGAGGTTCTACCGTCTGTCTCACAATGTAGTCACTTCTGATATGGGTTACATCCTTACGACAGCATATTGTCAGTCTTTTTCAGGTTATGAGGTCGACTGGTTTCGCGTCACATTATGCAGCATCACTGCAATTTGTTTAAATTCTCATCAAAATCCTGCATGCATCAAACTGAAATAGTTATTAACACTTTTAAAACTTTCAGTCGTGACTTACTCAAGTAGCATACGTGATGTAACTGGAACACTGTGTGTATGCTGATTGGTCAGAAGCCTATATTTTATCCACTAGTAAACTCGTTACTATTTTTTGAAAGCAATAGACTGCGCATTCTATTGGTTTTACAGGCGTAATAACCCCTCTCAGTGATGTTGGGACAACACTCAGTAAAATTGTAAACTTTAAGCTTCGGCTCGCGTGGGTTTTCAAATGTGCCGTGAATAACTTGCGGGTCTATTGCTTAATAAACTGATATTGAATGATTTAGATATGAATGAGATAAAACAAAAAAAGAGATATCTATAAGGCGCCAAGTTTGTTTCAACGACATGCATGCATTTCTTATATTGGTTTCAGTCCACCTTACCGCCTTGGCCGATATTACAGCTGATGTTTTGACCCAGTAAATTTTTGATAGAAAAGTTTCCGAAATAACAATTTTTTAACGATTTTGACAAAGGGAAAGGAAAAAGAAAGTAGATACTTGTCGCAAGAGGGAGATCTAGACGAAGTAAAATCCGAGTCTTTCGCCAGGATTTAAAGTTGAACCTTAGATCTCCCGATTTCGCGGCGGGATGTTCTGTGAACAAAGCTACCAAGAATTGAAAGGAAAATGTAGTCAATCTAATCACATAGAAACTGGAATCCAACCCTAGAAAAGGTTCCGCGCTCTGTGATGAAACTGTTGAGAACTCTGTGGTGCGCTGGGCCATTACTACACGGCACGTGTTCTGAATACAGCTGAAGAGAAATAGCCAATCGGGACATATATCAGATCCATATGCGACAAGAGTTCTAAACACTTCTAGGATTTTCAAAGGATTGGATGTCGTGAAAATATAGAAAAGCAATAAGATAAGAGAAAAGGGGAAATAAAAAAAGGAATTAATGAAGAATTGAATGAACAAATGAATGAACGAAGAATAATTAAAAAACTGGGAAAGGAATGAAAAAAGGGCAAATACTTTTTATGGTCTCAAATCGATTCAATAACACCAAAAAAATTCTTGATTAGGAGCTGCTTCCCTTAAACTGAGTGAAAACCGCCCGATTGATGGGTAATTCAGTTTGAAGAAAAAAGCTCTAAATAAACATGTAAAATATTCTTATTTCTCATAATAATAAATGCACACTGGCAAGAAAATAAAAGATGACCAGTCACGGCTCACGGCTCCACTATAATAGCTGAAGCCCTTTTGCGCAAAGGAGATTTTAAATAATTCCTAGATCCGTTGAGAGATTCAATTTTCCAGCCACGAAGGACTTATCAAGCAAGCGAACGAAAGAGGGAGCGAGCAAGAAAACGAGCGAACTAACGAACGAACGAAGAAAGAAACGAACGAGCTAACGAACGAACGAACGAACGAACGAAGACGAACGAACGAACGATCGAGGGACGAAAAGAGCCTATACCGGCCTCTCCCTCCTAACACAACGTGTTGGAAAAAATGTACTCCGGGGAAGATTGGAGACGACATTATTCAAGATGGCGGTCGAAGCGAGTTTTCCAATCTTTGTAGTCGATGCATTCACCGACAAACCTTTTGGCGGGAATCCAGCTGCTGTATGCCTCGTGGGATCAAGGGTAAGAAACTTTCAATAGCAACAAGCGTGAGATTGGGCTAGGAAGACGATTGTGTGACAATATCATTAAATTCGCCTTGAATCAGGTCACTTGAACTTGCCTCTTTCAATACGGAAAAATAAAAGTGAAGTCACCGGGTTGTATTTACGTTTCGCCTCTATTCTTTTCCCCCTGAAAACTGGGACCTGAAAAGCATTTTGCTTCGAAACTTTTGAGGAGGGATTTGCACCAAAACTGACTCGTTTCCCACCCTCAGAATTTAAGGATGACAGGAAGTTGGTTGGGGGTTGTTCAATTCAAACAGCAAACGTATTATGCCTTAAAAAGAAAAACTTTCCTATTATTTTCTTTTACCTAAAATTTATCATGTGGCTTGAGAATTGAAAGGATTAATGGGGGTCTTAAATTTAGAGTGTGCTGGTGTAAAATTGTTTGCATATGTACACTGTATCTCTTAATTCCAATTACATTACTACAAAGTGACACTTAATTAACCCCTTCACTGCCTACATGACATACTCAGTACATCGAAAGTTATGACAGTAACAGTCAAATCTCCAGCATTGGAAATGTAAAATAATCTGGCCTCCAAAGCTCAAAACTAGTTAAAAACTCTTGTAGCGCTTGTAGCGACCAAAACAAATATAGTTTATAAGATCCCAAGGGGTGTCACTCCAAGACGCGATTAACAAGGTGTTTAGGGGCTATTTTTACAGATCGAGATTGAAGAATAACAGACCGAAGTTGACCGTTCACACAAATCTTTAATCCTGCAAGCAATCGACCACAAACCACAATCAACGATCAATCTCACAATCAATCAGTCAATTGTAAACTGCAACAATAATACAACGAAGTTCTATCAATCTAATGAAATGTTGGGAAATACATAATCAAAAATAGCGTGTAAAAAACTGGGCCTTAATGCCGATAACAAGATTATAATGACAATGAACAATACAAATACCCCAATAAATCAGAACAAACTATGTCAAAGGACAAAAGTTTCGGTACAAATTATTAAGAATTTTGGTGGCTGGTTAACAGCCCATTGTTCTTATATGTAAATGGTGGGCTTTCACTTGCATCTGATACAATTTTGGCCTTTAAATCTCAAATCAATTGAAAATATGGCAATACAACAAAATATCTGTTTGTATACTTTTGCCCAATGCTGGAAAACTAAACTTAGAAGAACAAAGTTACAAAGGTACTTACATATTGGTCTCGCTTGTGCCAAAGGTTTAAGAAACAAAAGGACGAAAGTTTACCAAGGCTACTCAAAAACTTACAAAGAACTGATTACAGGGACACTAAACTCGCTTTTATATGTGTGTGGTGACCTTGGAAGGTCCGATTACAAAACCAATAGAAATATATATACCTATATATAATACATATTTATATATATATATATCTATTTCATAACAATAGAAATATAGACCAACAGATAAACAATGCAACTATGTTGTTATCTAGGATCATTCTGCTATTATTAAACTAATCAATAATCAATTTAATAAAAATGAGCTTCTGGCTAGTGTCCTTAACATTTCTAAAAAACAATAAGTCAATTTGCATTGGCACAGGACTTTTTGGTGATGGCAGTCAAGGGGTTATGGAATTTTTCTCAATTAAAAAAAGATATGTACTCACATTTAATTGTGGGAAATTGTAGCAAATGCTGTTGGAAAGTGCTCAACAAACGAGTGTAGAGCGAAATACAGTTCAAAATGACTAAAATGAAACACGCATGATTCCCTGTAACTCTGAGTTTCATGCTTACGCACTCGTCAGTGTCTGTCTGATGAGTACGTAAGCACGAAACTCAGAGTTACAGGGAATCATGCAGGTTTCATTGTAGTCATTTTGAACTGTACTCATATTTAAAATTGTTTTATTTATGGAATCTATGCAAGTGAGGTTATTCTCTTTTGAAATTTCAAGTGCACCATTATCTTCTTCCACTGGTGTAATTTGCAAGTTGATGTGTACCAGTAATTTTTATTGAATTAATTTGTTCTTACAAGCAGCAATTAGTGATGACATCTTGCAAAAAGTTGCAAAAGAAATTAACTTATTGGAAACAGCCTTTATCCTGGAAAAAAATGAACCTGACACATATTCAAAAGGTTAGGTTCACCAAACCCAACTGAGTTTTACTTAAGCTTAGACTCCATCTGCTTTTGTCTTAAATTTAGGAATTAAGTGACAACACCATGCAAAGGATAGCAAATGAAATGAATTTGTCTGAAACTGCTTTTATCCTCCAAAAAACTGAGCAAGACACATACTCAAAAGGTTAGGAATAATCACAGCAAATAGCACCCATTTAAGTAAGTTAGTCCTTCTTCTTGATCCCTTTGACCCTACAAGGGACCTTCATCTAATTTCTCTTCACAACATCACCTCTGAATCACACCTTGAGGTCACAAGAATAAAGGAAATGATCACCAACTACAGAGGCTCTTGATTGTCAGGCAAATTCTCCTCATCAGCACCTGAGGAAATGTAGGAAGAACAGTATGGAGAATGGGCATATTGATGTTAGGGTGTGAACAGTTATTGTCCTGGACGCATGTGATGACTTATTTTATCCTCATATTAAATATCCAAAATGTGTGCATTACCTTAAGTTAGTTTTCCTCTGTTCTTTTACGTCATTACTATATCTGTTCATAGTAAGCATTTTCATGTATTGGACATAACTGAATGTAGAAACATTGTTTGAAAATCTACCTTTATAGCTGAAAATTACAATATGTTATTTCGAGAGCAAAGCGATTCTAGTGAAACACAAATTAATCTTAGTGTAAGTTTTGTATGACCTGAGTTTTTTCACCTCTCTGCCTATGTTGTATACTGAATTCTAATTTTATCTATTGCAGGTTCCTGTTTTGGTCTTCGTTGGTTTACCCCAGCATGTGAAGTGCCTTTATGTGGACATGCAACTTTAGCCTCAGCAGCTGTTTTGTTTGACTCCATAGGTAAGGTGTAACTCTCAGTGATTAACAAGTAACTTCTCCCTACAATACCCATGCACTATCCAGCAAACAGGTAATGAGAATACTTAAATCTATCAGGTAGAAGTTGTTATCATGATCTAACACCAAATCCTCATAACTTATTTACAAGGAAATGTGTAGTAGCTAAAGGGGAGAATTGACAATCAGATCTTAGGAGTTAAAGGGTTAAGAAAGTTGTGGTTTTAATAAAAGCTTGTTACTGGCCATCTACCACCCTCTTTGGACCTGTTATCCCCTGGCTAGCCTGTGAGCTGGGGTACCTGTGGGCTTTCACACTTGTAAGTGAGTTATAAGCTGGCAGGGAGTCTCAAAACAACAACCTCACTCTCAGGGTCTTAGTTCTACCCTTCCTTTACCAAAGGAAGGAAATAAAGAGAGACCTGGGAATGAGATTGTTGAAACAAGAGCCTCCCAACTTGTCATTTATTTTCAAATTTCCTATGTTTATCCACAAACACAGCATTCTGACTAGTCAAGAATAACAGGCAAATTACAGGTGTCATTACAGCACTCTTTTTATTTGCCCTAAAAATAAAAGCTGAAAATTACATTTCGAGGCTTCCATAATTTTATTATTAGTTTCAGCTTGGTAATTTGTTAATATGTAATCATGAAATCATTGAACATACCCTTACTAGGTAATGCAAATGCTGAAGTAACATTTGAAACATTAAGTGGGAAATTAACGGCAAGACAGGAAGGTAGGAGTCCTATTTGATGTAAAAGGCTAACTAAAAGTGCACAGTTAGATACTTTGGTTTTCTTAAAGAAGTTCAAACTTGATGATATAAATTGTCCACCGTAGAGAGTTTGTAAAGCTGACATTCCAAGCACTAGCCCCTTGTCAAAGCAAATGTCTACAGTAATTTTCTGGTCCATCAAAATAATACTAGAAAGTTGCATTGGGTAATACTAGTGGTATTTATTATTTGCAAGATCTTAAAATGAAATTGACAAGTCGAATCTAATTGTGCTCTCAATGAATTTGGGCAAGAATGTTGCAGCTGGCAATCATACATTAATTTCCTTTTTTCTTTTTCTGTTACAGGTTCATCAATTTGTTTAAACTTTCCTTTGAACAGCTGTGAACCATTACCTAAAGTATGTGTTAATTTCATTGTGTTTATGTACAGCATAGGGTACCAAATTCACATCTGGCCTTGAATGTTAAAAATTAACATTATCTTAAATTTTGTTTATTTGCCACTAATATGAAAAGTGGGATACTCTGTCTGGGAATTTTTTCATGAAAATTCAAGTTAAAAAAATTCCTACCAACCAATATTGTCTATAATTGTGTGTTGACAAAAAATGGTATAGCATAATATTTATGATTATTGTAGCAGCTGTTTTGTGGGAGAATCAAAACTTGTTCAACTAGTTTGTTCAAAGCATGTTCTCACCTTAAAATCAATTGCTTACATTTCATTTATGTCAGGAAGAAGCAATGAAGAGATTAGTTAAAGCAGGTAAACAACTTTTTCTTCAACAATTTTTACAAGAGACAGGGAGAAGCCCATTTTGGTCTGGGTGTTATACCTCTAAAAGTTAAGTCTTGGAAACTGCTGGTTCTGAAGCATCAAGTGACTCAAATACTACCACTCCATCTGGATGGAACACCATCACATCCCATGTTACCTCCAACCCCACCCACCCCCCCCCCCCCCCCCATTTCTTGTATTTCAACCGGTTTTCCTGACATTTTCCAAAACTCCATTTTCACTCCATGGCCCAGAGGCCTGGTGAGAGTGAAGGGCCTTAGAAATTTCAACCCTTCAAAATAACGAAGTCAGAAAGGGAGGTGTCTGGAACAGCAAAGTCGTGACCACAAGTAATCTACGGTCTCTCAATCTAACAAGCCTATCATTCATTCTGTTCACTGTAGGAAGGAAATAGGTCAAATAAGCAAAATTTACTTAACTAAAAATACTTATTAGAAGATAAATCAGTAACTGAAAATTGTTATCAGTTGTAGGTGACCTAAAGGTAAAAGACGTAGAATACTCTAAGACAACCAAGAAACTTCTCTTGTGTTTGGAGCCTTCATTGACAAGGTCAGGTCATGGAATAAGAATTAAAAAGAACATAAAATTACTTACATAAAATTAGGAAGTGTGGGCTAAGGGGCAAACCTCGTTACACAATTCGACTACACGTTTGTCTTATTGAGGCTACACTCAGTCATTGAATAGCATTGTATTTCTGATAAATCTTTAACTTTTGCTCACAGAGAAGATTTGGAAAACCTCTCCCCAGACTTCCAGGCTATGTTGTCCGCCCCCTTGTCTGGACTTGTCCGTGGTGTGATTGTAACCCTGCAGGGGACTAAGGCAAATGGGTGTGTGGATGGTAGCGGTGAGGTGTATGACTTTGTTTCACGTTACTTTGCTCCTTGGGTTGGAATATCTGAGGACCCAGTAACTGGTGAGTTTTAAAATAGCTTTTAAGGTAGTTCTATTCATTAATGTTAGTTTCCTTTTTTAACATTACAATCTTTCTTTCAGGCTCGGCACATACAGTTCTTGCTAGTTATTGGTCACAAAGACTGAAAAAAAACGATTTGTATGGTGAGTTCCATAATTCCATGTAAGGTTGTTTGAAATGTGCTGTCTGAATTTTGGAGTTAGTGACATTTGCCCGAGTTTTTAGTATACCCATTCCAAACAAAACAAAAAACAGCAAAGCTTGCCTTTTATTTGGCCTTACAAGGGTATATTTCCTGATTAGAGGGGTCAGTTTGTTGTGTAGTTTGATCCAACCCAGATGATTACAAAATTGGTGTCTTGAATCGTCGCTCTTTGAGTTTATCTTTAAAGGCTGTGTTAAGCTTGATCAACCATCCATATTGTGTTTAACTTGAAATGTCTCCCTGTCACGTTCATATCAATGTTTGGGGAAGTTTAATCTGACTTTTCTAACATATCATTTTCTTTTTTTAGCTCGTCAGTGTTCATCGCGTGGTGGAGAACTGAGAATTGATGTCAGGGAAGACAACAGAGTTGACATTGCTGGACAAGCAGTCTTAGTTCTTCAAGGAAGCATACGCTTATGACAGGTGTCATGCAACCCCAACCTTTTCGATAAATAACATAGCAAAGCAAAAGAATTGCAGTTACAGAGAACACTCGCAATATGACATACACCAATACAGAAATATTCAACCTTGTATTACAAGGACAAAACCAGGATTGTATAGTTAAGGAACACATTTCTACTTTAAGTTTTGTTTCATCAAATAAAATTCACATTACATCCTATAACTAAAGATCTTCAAGAGAATACATTCACTACAACCTTCCCACACCCTAGGTGTTGTTTCTCAGGGAAACACTTTCTGTAAACATAATTTCTTCAAAAGTTAAAACTTGTATTGTCATAGAAGTTTCTGAAACATGCACTTGTTAAGCATAATTAATACCTTTCATTTAACCAGCAAACAGTCTTTCAGCCATAAATGATACGCTAGAGATTATCTGAGGTACCGTCAATGCCCAAACAAATGCATAAGACAACTATGACACACAAACTTCCTTAAAAAAGATTTTCAACATCTTTTTAAATTTATTTCTTATTTAGAGAAACGTGGTCAGATAATAGTTAATTATTACCAAGAAAGAGAAGAGATTTAGTTTGTTGTTTCAGTTAGTCATGCTGGAAGTTAGAGATTGCTGAGAAAGACCTTATCAGTGTTTGTCCCCAAAGGTGAAAGATACCATTGTCAGAAAGGTATATTATTTTCACTTGGCATTGCCTTGTTGCTCTCTTTTCCTTAAGATGGACCTCCCTCCCTCCCCCCCCCCACCCTCCCTTTCAAACGTGTAGTGCTTTCAGCTTTAAGAAGATTTAAGTGGAGCAAGGAACTAAGAAGACTCATAACATTGTCAAACGTCTAACACATAACTTGTCCTACAGTAAAGTGAACTAGATTCCTAATTCCAGTACTTCTTTTGTAGCTGTTCAAATTCATCACTTGTGACAAACTTTTTCTGGTCCCTCGCAACTTGAAGCTTGGAGAAAAGCTGTTGAAGTTCTAATAACAGAAATGAGTTGTTAAATTGATGTAACTGGCCCAAAGGAACAATTTGTTGAGACAACAACAACAAATGAAATTTAAAACCGAGTTTCTCACCTTTCTTTTCTTTAGACGACATAAATAACAACACCATATCGAATCGTTCAACATGACTAAGCTCTCCCAGAATGTGGCAAGCAAGTTTTTCTTCTCCTGTTACAATAACAAAGTGATCATAGGATAAGATTATGACTCCACTCCGACTAAGGTTTCAATCCTCAATTGTTCTTGAATTAAAAAGCTAAAGTTTGTCTTTACCTTGTGGAACAACTTCCTGGCTGAGGGCTGCTATAATGCTACTTAACATTGGAGCAACAAGTTTATTACTGAGAACTGACCAAAACAAAAAAAAAACGTGCAACGTCAGTAAACGACCTTCTTTGAGGACTCCTTTAAACTTTGCCTCTTGCTTTGTAATTTATATTCCCATTTTCCCTTATTCTCTTTTCTGTCCCTTTCTTAATATCCTTCTATCCTTCCCTTTCCCACATGACCTATCTCTCCCTATCAACCCCCCTTTAAATTCATTCCCTTTCTCTTCCCATTTTTTCTTTCTCGATCTGTATTCCACTTTCCTCTCATCCGTTATCGATTAACGGTTCTTATTCTTCCTTCATGTGAGCTTTTTCTGAACCCTCCTTCCTCTCTCTTACATATCCACTTCTATTTCCCATTTCTTTTTCTCCTTGTTATTCTCTAATTCTCCTTTTTTCATCCTCCATTCCCACTTCCCTTGTTTGTCTTTTAATCCCATTCTTTCCCTTGTCACTCCTCTCTCCTGGGAGACAAAAGATAGCGTCAGTCATAGAAGAGGACGGGAAAGCAGCACACTCCATTATCATGAAGTAATACGCAAGGGTGAAGTATGACTTCAATGCACCAGAGGCTTATACGGCGGGAAGTGAACTCTGAAATCACAATCCTTATTGGATAGCGTGCTGAAGACCTATTCCTCCTTCATGTGAGCTTTTTCTGAACCCTCCTTCCTCTCTCTTACATATCCACTTCTATTTCCCATTTCTTTTTCTCCTTGTTGTTCTCTAATTCTCCTTTTTTCATCCTCCATTCCCACTTCCCTTGTTTGAAAAAATGTACTCCGGGGAAGATTGGAGACGACATTATTCAAGATGGCGGTCGAAGCGAGTTGTCCAATCTTTGTAGTCGATGCATTCACCGACAAACCTTTTGGCGGGAATCCAGCTGCTGTATGTCTCGTGGGATCAAGGGTAAGAAACTTTCAATAGCAATGAGCGTGAGATTGGGCTAGGAAGACGATTGTGTGACAATATCATTAAATTCGCCTTGAATCAGGTCACTTGAACTTGCCTCTTTACATACGGAAAAATAAAAGTGAATTCACCGGGTTGTATTTACGTTTCGCCTCTATTCTTTTCCCCCTGAAAACTGGGACCTGAAAAGCATTTTGCTTCGAAACTTTTGGGGGAGGGATTTGCACCAAAACTGACTCGTTTCCCACCCTCAGAATTTAAGGATGACAGGAAGTTGATTGGGGGTTGTTCAATTCAAACAGCAAACGTATTATGCCTTAAAAAGAAAAACTTTCTTATTATTTTCTTTTACCTAAAAATTTATCATATGGTTTGAGAATTGAGAGGATTGATGGGGGTCTTAAATTTAGAGTGTGCTGGTGTAAAATTGTTTGCATATGTACACTGTATCTCTTAATTCCAATTACATTACTACAAAGTGACATTTAATTAACCCCTTCACTGCCTACATGACATACTCAGTACATCGAAAGTTATGACAGTAACAGACAAATCTCCAGCATAGGAAATGTAAAATAATCTGGCCCTCAAAGCTCAAAACTAGTTAAAAACTCTTGTAGCGCTTGTAGCAACCAAAACAAATATAGTTTATAAGATCCCAAGGGGTGTCACTCCAAGACGCGATTAACAAGGTGTTTAGGGGCTATTTTTACAGATCGAGATTGAAGAATAACAGACCGAAGTTGACCGTTCACACAAATCTTTAATCCTGCAAGCAATCGACCTTAAACCACAATCAACGATCAATCTCACAATCAATCAGTCAATTGTAAACTGCAACAATAATACAACGAAGTTCTATCAGTCTAATGAAATGTTGCGAAATACATAATCAAAAATAGCGTGTAAAAAACTTGGCCTTAACGCCGATAACAAGATTATAATGACAATGAACAATACAAATACCCCAATAAATCAGAACAAACTATGTCAAAGGACAAAAGTTTCGGTACAAATTATTAAGAATTTTGGTGGCTGGTTAACAGGCCATTGTTCTTATATGTAAATGGTGGGCTTTCACTTGCATCTGATACAATTTTGGCCTTTAAATCTCAAATCAATTGAAAATATGGCAATACAACAAAATATCTGTTTGTATACTTTTGCCCAATGCTGGAAAACTAAACTTAGAAGAACAAAGTTACAAAGGTACTTACATATTGGTCTCGCTTGTGCCAAAGGTTTAAGAAACAAAAGGACGAAAGTTTACCAAGGCTACTCAAAAACTTACAAAGAACTGATTACAGGGACACTAAACTCTCTTTTATATGTGTGTGGTGACCTTGGAAGGTCCGATTACAAAACCAATAGAAATATATATACCTATATATAATACACATTTAAACCCCTGAAGAGTGAAGCGATTCACGAAACAGGCTTGTCGGGAAATGTAGTTGCGTCCTTTTTTCCTCTCATAATATTTATTCTGCTCTGCTTAAACGTATTGAGCACTGTTCCACGCGAAAATCGACTTGCAGACTTCCTAATACACACACATATATATATATATTTCATAACAATAGAAATATAGACCAACAGATAAACAATGCAACTATGTTGGTATCTAGGATCATTCTGCTATTATTAAACTAATCAATAATCAATTTAATAAAAATGAGCTTCTGGCTAGTGTCCTTAACATTTCTAAAAAACAATAAGTCAATTTGCATTGGCACAGGACTTTTTGGTGATGGCAGTCAAGGGGTTATGGAATTTTTCTCAATTAAAAAAAGGTATGTACTCACATTTAATTGTGGGAAATTGTAGCAAATGCTGTTGGAAAGTGCTCAACACACAAGTGTAGAGCGAAATACAGTTCAAAATGACTAAAATGAAACACGCATGATTCCCTGTAACTCTGAGTTTCATGCTTACGCACTCGTCAGTGTCTGTCTGACCAGTGCATAAGCACAAAACTCAGAGTTACAGGGAATCATGCAGGTTTCATTGTAGTCATTTTGAACTGTACTCATATTTAAAATTGTTTTATTTATGGAATCTATGCAAGTGAGGTTGTTCTATTTTGAAATTTCAAGTGCACCATGATCTTCTTCCACTGGTGTAATTTGCAAATTGATGTGTACCAGTAATTTTTATTGAATTAATTTGTTCTTACAAGCAGCAATTAGTGATGACATCTTGCAAAAAGTTGCAAAAGAAATTAACTTATTGGAAACAGTCTTTATCCTGGAAAAAAATGAACCTGACACATATTCAAAAGGTTAGGTTCACCAAACCCAACTGAGTTTTACTTAAGCTTAGACTCCATCTGCTTTTGTCTTAAATTTAGGAATTAAGTGACAACACCATGCAAAGGATAGCAAATGAAATGAATTTGTCTGACACTGCTTTTATCCTCCAAAAAACTGAGCAAGACACGTACTCTAAAGGTTAGGAATAATCACAGCAAATAGCATCCATTTAACTAAGTTAGTCCTTCTTCTTTATCCCTTTGACCCTACAATGGACCTTCATCTAATTTCTCCTCACAAAGTCACCTCTGAATCACACCTTGAGGTCACAAGAATAAAGGAAATGATCACCAACTACAGAGGCTCTTGATTGTCAGGCAAATTCTCCTCATCAGCAGCTGAGGAAATGTAGGAAGAACAGTATGGAGAATATGCATATTGATGTTAGGGTGTGAACAGTTACTGTCCTGAACACATGTGATGACTTATTTTATCCTCTTATTAAATATCCAAAACGTGTGCATTACCTTAAGTTAGGTTTCCTCTGTTCTTTTATGTCATTACTATATCTGTTCATAGTAAGCATTTTCATGTATTGGACATAACTGAATGTAGAAACATTGTTCGAAAATCTACCTTTATGGCTGAAACTTACAATATGTTATTTCAAGAGCAAAGTGATTCTAGTGAAACACGAATTAATCTTAGTGTAAGTTTTGTATGACCTGAGTTTTTTCCCCTCTCTGCCCATTTTGTATACTGAATTCTAATTTTATATATTGTAGGTTCCTGTTTTGGTCTTCGTTGGTTTACCCCAGCATGTGAAGTGCCTTTATGTGGACATGCAACTTTAGCCTCAGCAGCTGTTTTGTTTGACTCCATAGGTAAGGTGTAACTCTCAGAAGTGATTAACAAGTAACTTCTCCCTACAATACCCATGCACTATCCAGCAAACAGGTAATGAGAATACTTAAATCTATCAGGTAGAAGTTGTTATCATGATCTAACACCAAATCCTCATAACTTATTTACAAGGAACTGTGTAGTAGCTAAAGGGGAGAATTAACAATCAGATCTTAGGAGTTAAAGGGTTAAGAAAGTTGTGGTTTTAATAAAAGCTTGTTACTGGCCATCTACCATCCTCTTTGGACCTATTATCACCTGGCTAGCCTGTGAGCTGGGGTACCTGTGGGCTTTCACACTTGTAAGTGAGTTATAAGCTGGCAGGGAGTCTTGAAACAACAACCTCACTCTCAGGGTCTTACTTCTACCCTTCCTTTACCAAAGGAAGGAAATAAAGAGAGACCTGGGAATGAGGTTGTTGAAACAAGAGCCTCCCAACTTGTCATTTATTTTCAAATTTCCTATGTTTATCCACAAACACAGCATTCTGACCAGTCAAGAATAACAGACAAATTACAGGTGTAATTAAAAATTCTTATAAACAGCACTCTTTTTATTTGCCCTTAAAATAAAAGCTAAAAATTACATTTTGAAGCTTCCATAATTTTATTATTAGTTTCAGCTTGGTGAGCATACCCCAGATCTCCCCCTCCCC